TTTTTTTGTGTGTGTGTGTGTGTGTGTGTGTGTGTTATGTGTCTCCATCTTGACATTGTTCTCTTGGCTGTTTTCCGGGTCCAGTCTTCCAGATATTGAAATGCTGGGATTACTTGTGTGAGCCACCAGGCCTAACTACGATCTTAGCTTTTATTTTGCTTATTATCTGTCAGGGAAATCATAGAAGGGAAATAAAACATAATAGTTAATATAAAAAGATGCTCACACAGTACATGAAGGTTCTTAGGCAAGCGAGATGAAAAGAATGCTAGCGTGTGGAGCACGGGAAAGCTGAACGTTTATAACAGACTTGGGCAAATCCGGGAATAATTTCATGGGTTCGGCTGATGGATACCACACGTGTTGAGAAGTGAGACTGGGTAGGATACTGATGGTGTGGTTGCTGGGATTTCTCCCATCCCTTGTCTGTGCTTAGCTGTTGGCTCTCAGCACAGGAGAACCACTGGAGAGTTTTGAGGTAGAGAATGACATCACGATACCTCTTTGCAGATAGATGGATCTGAGGGCCATGTGGAATGCAGACAAGACTGGAAACAGCCATGAGGGAAAGGCCACTTTGGTCTCAATGAGGCGGTTCAAAGGTTGTAGATTAGAGCTGCTGAGAGAGAAGGAAGGGTAGTAATCAGATATAAGAAACTATTTTGGGGTGGAATCAATGGAGCTGGTATGTATTGATCATGATATCAGTATATATGTTATATAAGTTTTCCAAAAGCAATATTTATATACACAAGTTTTGTTTTTCATAGCCACTGGTATAAGCTCACAGGAGAGAAACATTTCAAAAATACTTCACATAAATTTAAAGTCTAGAGTTCTATGAACCTTGGCCTGTGAATAAATATAGACTTGCTACACTAACCCTTCATCTCAGAGAGAGTAGAAGAAACCTAGAGGCACAAAGCCATATGCACAAGGTCAAGGCACCCTGGATCCCAAGACTCCCTGGATGCCTTTGAAAGTCTTCAGAAAAGGTGATGATGATGCTGGTTGATTGCTTTTTTCTTGAACCCAAAGAAAACTGTGAAAGTAAAACACATGGCTGTCTCCAGATATAGTTTTTAAAATGGTTAGACCAGTAGAACTAGGTCATACAGCTAAAATTATACTTAAATGGCACAACCTTGTGAAATGTTAGCCTTGTTAGAGTCAAATCTAAATGAGGATCGGAAATCACCCAGTGTGAAGACCCTTTGCAAAGAAAGAAAATTAGATGGGAATATGGTATTTTTGTTAGACCGGAATATGGTACTTTTTTCTTTTTCTTTATTTCTTTCTTTTTCTTTTTCTTTCTTTTTTTTTCTTTTGAGACAGGGTTTCTCTGTGTAGCCCTAGCTGTCCTGGAACTCATTTTGTAGACCAGGCTGGCCTCAAACTCAGAAATAGCCTGCCTCTGCCTCCTGATTGCTGGAATCAAAGGTGCGCACCACCGTCTGGCTGGAATATGGTATTTTTGAGGGTACTGACCACATTAACCACACTCACACTTGCTTCTTTTTTTTCTTAATTCTCTAAGCTAAAAGCTAGCTTGAAAGTTCTCATACATCTAAAAGTTATCCAGCAAACACCCACCTTCAGACTCTCACTCTGTATTTCTAGAGTGAGACCCAGTATATTAGGACATGGTAAATGCCCATGCTCATACAGGCAAACTTAATTAATTAAATGCATCAGGTCTCTCTCTCTCTCTCTCTCTCTCTCTCTCTCTCTCTCTCTCTCTCTCTCTC